TAGTAGACCTATTATCATTACTAGGCTATGCTATAATTGGGAATTGGCATCAGATCTCTGATCTTCATTTATGTTTTTATTTTTATTATTACTAGGCCTAATATTAGCCATCGTCTGCATTTTTTAAAGAAGCTTGCAGGTCGGAGATATTAATGTGAGACCTGAGCCTGCTTTGCCTTGCAAAGATCCTCAATTCTTGGCTCAATGTTTGATAAACATAGCCTCAAATCATCCTCGATTTGTGCACGATTGCGGTATTTCGTTTTGAGTGCAGTCATTTTTGAGAATCCTGCCTCACACAAATAAGTTGACGCGAAAGGAAGGAGAATCTTCAAGGCGACGTCACTGAGTTCAGCGTATTCCTGCATCAATACTGCCTAGAACGACGAAAGAGGCCAGGAGCTAAAGAGTTCCTTCAGTCTACTGTCACTCTTCAGCTCAATAAGCTGTTCCTGCATATCAATTGAGCTCGTTTGCTGTGCACACAAACGGATCTCGAACCAACGCAAAAGAGCGATAATCCTCTTTAAAGTACGTCGCAAATGTGTTCTCATTGCTGACAGGTGCTCAGACGCTGACTGAAATAGGAAGGAGAAATCATGTGACGTGCCTGCATCGGTGATAAAGTCTGCAAGGTTGGGGAACATGTCGCAGTTCCCTCGACTAATGCGGCCATGCCAGAGGTCTAGTTTTTGTGTGAAGGCGTTCACTTTGTCTGCAAGGAGCAAAATGTGAGTTTCGTGGCCTTGCAAAGACAGGTTGAGGCCATTCAAGCGATCAAATATATCGACCAAATAGGACAGAGACGTAAGCCACATAGTGTCATCCAGATGCTTCGCCAGATCAGATTTGATTCTGTCAAAAAACACTTCACCTCCTCTCGCAGCTCATACAACCGCTGTGACACCCGCCCCCTGGAGAGCCAGCGAACTTCAGTGTGCAGAAGCAGCTGTTCATGCCCTGAACCCATCTCCTGGCAGAGGACCCCAAACAAGCGAGAGTTTAGCGGCCGTGATTTGATTAGATTTATTATTTTCAAGGATTGGTTCAGCACGGAGTCAAAGAGAACCGGCATTTTTTTTAGCTGCTAGTGCTTCGCGATGGACCATACAATGAGTCCATTTCACAAGTGGAGCTACTTGCTGAACGCGAGCAGCTAGGCCACGCTCACGGCCCGTCATTGCCTGCGCACCATGCATGCGTAGTGCATAGGCCAACGCATCGGTCCCAAGCCAACCCATTTTCACGGATAAAAATATCAAGGACATTGAAAATGGCTTCTCCTGTAGTGTGCGACTGAAGAGGGCGGCAAAACAGAACATCCTTCTCATTCGCCTTGTCCCGCAGATACCTGACGTAAGTGAGGAGCTGTGCCTGCCCAGCAATATCAGTGGATTCGTCCAGCTGCAGCGCGTAGTAAGGACTCTTTTTTACGAACTCTATCAGTTGCTTTCCGATATCATTGGACATGTCTACAATTCTCCTAGCGACTGTGTCATTGGACAGTGGTACTGCACCGAGTTTGGCTGCTGCACTATCGCTTATCATTATCCTGCACATGTCTTGCGCTGCCGGCAAAATGAGAGTCTCAGCGATTGTATGCGGTTTACCCAGTTTACCAATCCTTTTGGCCACTACATACGATGCCTCCAAACACTGTTTTGACACCGTGCTGTGCACTGAAATGGTTGCCTGTTGCTGATGGAGGCGATCAAGCTTTCTTTTAAAATATTCAGCCGGTTTATCTTTAATGCCAGCATGTTTTGTTTCGAGGTGCCTTTTTAATTTGCAGGGCTTCATACTGTCGTTTGCCAGCACCTCGGCACACACGACACACTGAGGTCTAAGATCAGCCGTAACTGTAAACCCAAACGTCTCGGTTACGTATGTAACCCTCGTTCCCTGAGTAGGGAACGGAGACGTTACGTCAGAAGTGACGGAGATTGGGGGGGTTTCGCATAGAAAGCCAATCCTCTTCGAGTATTTAATCACGAGCCAATGGCATGCAATGCCTTGGGGCTGCGGAAATTTGCATAGCGTACTCCGCCCTACTCCGTGAGTATAAAAGGAGGAAGTGAACGCAACCGCAGTATGTCTTCGCTGAGGAGCCAAGACTGAACTCAGGTGTCTACCCAGCGGTACAGCAGAAGTGGCAGGGAGACGTAACATCTCCGTTCCCTACTCAGGGAACGAGGGTTACATCCGTAACCGAGACGTTCCCTTTCGTAGTCACTTCGAGTTACGTCAGAAGTGACGGAGATTGGGGGTCAATGCCATCACGCCATCTTACAGCTGTCTTCCAGTGCCCTGCGAAAGTCTAGACCCCTGAACCTAGGTATCACCAGGAGATCCTACTTTGACACAGGAATACCAAGGTACACTGGGAAACATATCCCGGGAGGGACATGCTACCAGATGCCTACCGTAGGGAGGACTTACGAATACACATATGGCCGCATAGGGACGCATATGGAGATCACTGGAGCACCAACCGCAGGTGGTTACTAGAATTAACTCCAGGGGTGGCAGATGGCTTGCCAAGAGAAGACACATGCTCAGAGAGGCTTACAGTGGAAAATACACATGAGACAGTTACCATAGGGAACCGTGCACATGGAGGCACCTAGCCGGCATCCAGAGCAACAGCAGTGGTGCCCGCATCATGGGTGCTGGAGGACTCAAGGCTTCAACGGAAGACTACTGAGGAATATCGCACTTATCCAGTCCGAGGAGAGGAATGGCGAGCAAGCGAAGACACCTAAGCGGGTCCAGTACTGGCGGAAGCGAGTACGTGAGAGGACACCGGTTCGATTCGAAGATTATAGAATCTTGCGAAGGTGTTTGGTGTCGCCCAGCCTGCAGCTCTGCAAATGTCTGTTAGCGAGGCGCCATGCGCTAGAGCCCAAAAGGAGGCCACACTCCGAGTGGATCCCCCCATGACAGACAAGAGCTGGTCTGAGGTCCTGAAACACCGCGTTCTGTCGACGTAGGTGTGGAGTGCACGTACTGGACAGAGCAGTGCCAAGGCTGGGTCTGCCTCCTCCAGGGGCAGCGCTTGCAGGTTCACCACCTGGTCCTGGAAGGGAGTGGTGGGAACCTTGTGCACATATCCAGGCCGGGGTCTCAAGATACGTGAGAGTAAGCCGGCCCGAAACTCCAGGCACGCTTCGTCAACGGAGAATGCGTGCAGGTTCCCCACCCTCTTGAAGGAGGCCAATGCAACCAGGAGTGCCGTCCTCATAGGACAGAACTTAACTCTACCGATTGCAAAGGCTCAAGGGGAAGCCTCTGCAGAGCACTTATATCTACTGAGAGGTCCCAAGAGGGCACGAGGGGAGGGTGAGGCGGGTCTCGCCTCCACGATCCCCTCAGGAACCTGATGACCAGGTCATGCTTCCCCTAGACTTACCTTTCACTGCATCATGAGACGCGGCAATAGCAGTGACATGAACCCTAAGGGTGGAGGGCGACAGCCTACGCTCCAACCCTTCTTGTAGAAAGGAAAGCACGACACTGATCGACACCTCCGGGGGTCTTCTCCGCGAGAAGAGCACCAGTTGACGAAGAGGTTCCACTTCGACGCATAAAGGTGTCTCGAGGACGACGCTCTAGCGGAAGTGATGGTTGCCGCCACCGCAGGTGGCAGCGAACTCAGACCTGCTTCGTCCCATCCAGGAGCCACACGTGTAGCCTCCATAGTTCGGGACGAGGGTGCCACAGAGTGCCCCGTCTCTGAGTGAGTAGATCCTGCCTCAGAGGAATAGGCCAAAGAGGTGCTGTCGCGAGGAGCATGAGTTCGGAGAACCACGTCTTGGTGGGCCAATAAGGGGCTACCAGCAAGACCTGCTCCTCGTCCTCCTTGATCTTGCACAACACCCGTGCAAGGAGGCTCACTGGGGGAAACGCATACTTGCGTGGGCCCCGAGGCCAGCTGTGCGCCAGTGCATCTGTGCCGAGCATGCCCTCGGACAGGGAGTAAAACTGGGTGCAGTGGGATGAGTCCCAGGAGGCAAACAGGTCTATCTGAGCCTCCCCGAACTGGTCCCAAATCAGCTGGACCGTCTGGGGATGGAGTCGCCATTCGCCGGAGATAGGGCGGATCTGTGACAGCTCGTCGGCTGCCAGGTTCCGGTCTCCTGGAATGTACACTGCACGAAGGGACCTCAGGTGCTTCTGACTCCATAGCAAGAGGTGGCGGGCGAGCTGCGACAACTGGCGTGAGCGTAGACCCCCCTGTTGGTTGATGTACGCTACAGCAGAGGTGTTGTCTGAGCGGACAAGTACATGTTGACCCCTGAGCAGTGCTCGAAAGCGGTGCAGGGCCAGGCGTACTGCCAACAGCTCGAGGCAATTGATGTGCATGAGGCGCTGGGGTCCTGTCCAGGAACCCGCTGCTGCATGCCCATTGCGCATTGCACCCCAACCCGTGGTAGATGCATCCGCGGAGACTACGAGATGCCTGGAAGCTCGCTGGAGCGGGACACCGGCCCGCAAAAAGCTGAGGTTCGACCACGGGGAGAAGGTACGGCGGCACGCTGGAGTCACTGGAACTCGAAGCGAGCCGCGATGCCATGCCCACCTCGGGACTCGATCGCGAAGCCACAGCTGAAGTAGTCTCATATGAAGCAATCCGAGCGGCGTTGCTGCGGCTGCGGATGCCATATGCCCCAGGAGCCTCTGAAAGAGTTTCAGTGGGACCTATTCTTGCCCTCGAACTGTCGAAGACAAGTCAGCAGTGAGTGCGCGCGCTCGTTCGTGAGCTGCGCGGACATGGCGACCGAGTCTATCTCCATGCCGAGAAAAGAGATCCTTTGCACGGGGCAAAGTTTGCTCTTCTCCCGGTTGACCCGAAGGCCCAGACGGGCTAGGTGCCGGAGCACCAGGTCTCTGTGTTCGCAAAGCTGTATCAGCCAATCGTCGAGAAAATTCAGGATGCGAACTGTTGTGGAAATGATTCTCTGTTATTCGAAAAGATAGGAGGAAGAAGACAAGTGGAAACCTTTTCAAAAGTCAAAGTATCAAAAGTTTATTTTCTTGCAAGAAAACACATCCAATCTTTTGGCGTTCAACATACAGAACAGTGTCTACATGTGAAGGCGAAGGCTAGTCCTTCTCATCATCCTTATATACCTGAAAACCCAGGAAACCATGCAGGCTATATCTGGTTTTGCTACCGATTGTCTATATTTAATTTGGACAGCACAATGACGTTTGTGTTAAGTTTCCTATGTCCAAGTACAGATTGACTTCACACCTCAATTTATCTCTTGGTTGCAAGTTCTGTTCGACCTCACACCTTTCTGCTCAATTTATCTCTTGGTTGCAAGTTCTGGTTTATCTTTTGTTTGATCAAAACCCTGAACAAATATAACTCACACTTGAAATACAATGAGCTATTAAAATGTTTCCATGCTGCTTGCTTCTTTGTTAAACACAGAACATTATGTCCTCACACTAAGCTTACATTACTTATGCATTTCTAACAGCTTGTTATATCTTTAACAATGTCCTTTGGATTACATTAACATCTTCCTTTAAATGCTTATGAGTATATGTTAGATGATATGAATATTTTCCTTTAAATGCTCATGAATACATCTTCTCCAACGTTAGTAAAAGTTACACACACATCTATCACATCTTAATGAAATAAAATAATACATATAAAAGAAAATAAAGATCATATATGAAAGAAAAGAAACTTGTATAAATGTAAATGCAAAATTAGCCATTACATTCCACCCCAAGTTCATTTAAAGAACTTACACACAATTTTGACATTTACTTCTCCATAATCATGGTAACTTACACCAAGTAAATTTTTCCCATGTTTACTTCATTTCTTAGTCAAAACTCATGCGTGTCCTCATTCTCATACATCTCATACTCCTGTACTTCAACATCACCATCTGGTGCCCTATGGAGCATGGTTGCATATTCTCCTTCGTTCATTTTAAGCATAGTGGTGGTCACTGCCTTTGCAGTGATAGTAGAGACACAATTCATCAAACATGGGATTACCAGAAGCAAAATCAAAACTAAACATCCTATTGGTAAGACTGTACTTATCAGCCATTTGGTCCACCCCTGCAGACCCAAGAACCACCTATCCAGTGAAGATGACATGTCTTTTGGTGTAGCTACGGCCAATTTCATGTGCTCTATTAGGTTGGTTACGTTGTCATAGACGTCAGGCAGACTAAAACAACACGAGGTTCCTAGCATTTTGCACACGCCTCCACGTTCCGCGGTGAGCATATCCAAAACGAGCCTATGTTGTATCACTGCCTCCCTAATTCCCTTTAGTTCAACGTTCAGTTCTGTTAATGCATCTTCAGTCTCATTGGCTAAGCGCAATACCTGCCAAGCTAAGCCATTTATTTTTAGCAAGCTAGCAGCAGTGCCTCCCCCCACGAGGAAAGACCACCCAGTCATAGCTAGTCTACTTGTCCACGGATCCCAAAGTTTGGTACCTTGAAACATAAGAGGTATCTTTTCATCGGCTAAACTCCTTTTTGGTCGAGTAGAGGTTTGCTTATGGATACCATTTTGTTCTTCAACGTAAACTTCCGTTCCTACATCTACGAGTCCTGGATAACAGCACCCTGTCCATTTCTTAGGCAGGGAGTGGTAAGCGGTATGACCACAGACCCATACTGTTCCAGCGGTTGTCTCTCCGAAACCATAGTTGTCACCGGGACACGTGATAAATGTACCATCAGACGTTACGCATTTGTCATCGTTCATCATTACCGTGGTTGTGCAATGTGACGTGCCAACCATTGTAGATCCCCTTCCGAACTCGAATTTACACAGACACACGTCGCCTAGTTGTGGTTTGATCCCCCACACATTGTCAAAGCCTTTGGTGCTGTATTCTGATCGGCTGTGTTCTGATCGATTGTTACACACTACCTTTTGAGGGGATATTGATTTGGTCTCTTCAGGATTAATCGCATTCAATAGATCCCACATAGCACACGGTATTAATCCCTTTAACTCTCCTAAATTTGCAGCTCGTAATGGATGGACCCTCCAGGTTCTATCCATTCGCAAACACCACCAACATGATTGGTTGATGGCCAACGCTTGCCTTTGAAGTAAACTTAACATGCATGCTTTGTTACTCCCACATTGAATTCTACTTTTAGTGATAGTTCCGTCCTCATGATGTAAATTGAACTGTCTTTCTAATTCCCTCTCCTCTTCTTCAGGTATGCTAGTATGCGAGATAAGTTCGGATAGCATATGAGTTTTCGGGGTCGGGTCTACCATTCTAATTTCGAGTGGGACGTAAGTGTCGGTACCTGCAGTCCACCAGGCACAAAAATATTTACCACCCCATTGGGTAGTGCCATCATTTCCTGTTGACAGTGTAACTTTCAGTTTGATCTTACGATTTTCAGTGATTTCTTCTATCTTCAAAAGACCTGATTTCACCCGTCTGCTGTAACCACTATATGAGGTATACCCTGCTCTGGTTAAGAGGCCTTCTCTAACAGCCTCCTCATTACCTCCATACACATCTCCCCATCCACAGGGATCCTTACAAAAATACATGGCTTTACCCCATTTGCTCAGACGCTCTGGATTGTACCCAGGTCCTGCTGCTGAGATAGGATCACATATTATAACAATTTCACTCCCTTTTCCTCTTGTCATGTTCACTTTGATGCTACCATCCTGTGCTAGGCCTATGGCCAGGCTAGTTAAGAGGATGAGATTTAGTAACATATTGCCACACACGGCAACCTCGCCAGGCGAGATAATGTTCTTGTGTGAACGATATAAGTCCTGTTTGCCTATTTATCGCTGGTCTTAGGGCCGGTCTAGTAGATATTATTAAACAAGTTACTGCAATGCCCTCTCCGTCAAAATACCACAGAGTTCTTGACAACGTACGTATTACCCCTAAGATCGCAGAATCGTCTTGTACGATAGATTCGTCCTCTCTCCAATGACGATGATTTGCAAGTGAGAAACCTACAGGTTGGCAAGCAAAGTCAGTTAGTCTTAAACCTGTTCGGATCTCGTAAGCTGTGAGTGGGATTGCCCGTCCGTTGCAGCTTCCGCGTGAGCTGATTGCCTGGAGTTGGAGTTTTCCCCTGTTGCAGCTACCGCACGAGCTGATGTTGCAGCTACCGCATGAGCCGATACTCTGGAATTGTCGTCCTCCACCGTTGCAGCTACCGCATGAGCTGGCACTTTCCGACAGTGCGTCCCGTGGATCCACAGAGCTCTCTCTCCGACTTTCACCGCAGTGTGAGTTGTCAGCAAAACCTGAAATGGCCCCTGCCACCTCTTTGCTTTCCAGTGCTTCCGCCTCAGATCCTTTATCAGCACGAAATCTCCTGGTCTGATGCTGTGCAGGGCCGTCTCAGCTGGCACTGGAGCTGCTGCTTTGACCTGTCGTGAGATATCAGAAAACACCTTATCCAGCTCAACACAATAGTTCAACATATCATGCTCACAAAGAGTGGTGTCAGGCAGTGGTCTAGGATTGTGGGGTTCCCAGCCCATGTGAGGTGGACGACCAAACAGAATCTCAAATGGAGAGAGTTGTGCGCCTCCCCTCTTCCTCATTCTCATGTAAGTTAATTCAATGGGCAAGGCCTTGGGCCAAGGAAGCCCTGTTTCCTCACAAATTTTCGTCAGCTTATTCTTAATAGTCTGGTTCTCACGTTCGATGGCCCCGCCTGCTTCCGGAAAATAAACGCAATGCCTCCTCCAGGAAGTTCCCAGGAATGCCTCGACTGCTGAGATTGCGCTGTTGACAAAATGCGACCCATTATCACTTGATAACTTTTCAGGAATACCCCATCGCGGGACTATCTCCTGTAGGAGTAGTTTTGCCACCCCTTTAGCATCTGCCTTTGCTGTTGGCATAGCTTCTACCCATTTTGAAAATATGTCTACCGCAACTATGCAGTATTTCTTTTTGTCAGATTGTGTCAACTCAATATAATCAAGCATTACATGTGAGAATGGTCTTTGCGGAATGGGATGCCCCGCCTGTCTCATTGCCTGACCCCTGCCGACATTGTTAGTTCCACAAATCATACATCTGCTGCAGTAATCTGCTGCCACTGTGGAGAAACCTTTAGTAAACCAGTTATTTTGCATAGCATTAAACATTCCACTTTTCGACACGTGATCCAGTCCATGTGTCAGCTTAGCATAAGCCTGAAAGAAATGAGAAGGTAAACATGGTTTATTGTTGGGGCCCCTCCATTGTCCATTCACAAACACACACCCCGCCTTTCTCCACTTCTCTTTGTCAGAGGGAGAAGCGTGCTGCTGCATGATCTCAACGTCTCCTAATTCTTCCTGCATCTGTACTGCAGTGGTTATCTGAACAGGAAGTAGTGCTGCAGCCTTAGCAGCTAAATCAGCCGCTCTGTTTCCTCTAGACACTTCATCAATGCCTGTGGTGTGTGCTTGGCACTTGCAAACTGCCACTTCCTTTGGTAAAAGCAGTGCATCTAACAATTCACTCACCAGCTGATGGTTCAAGATTGGCTTTCCATCTGCTTTCAGAAATTTTCGATGTTTCCATAGTGCACCAAAATCATGGACAACACCAAAAGCATACCTTGAGTCAATTGTAAATTTTAACACGTTGATCACTCGCTAATTTGCATGCTGCAGTCAGAGCAACCAATTCAGCAGCTTGTGCTGAAAAATGTGACGGCAGTGGTTGTTGTTCCAGAATCTCAGTTAAGGAAACTACTGCGTAGCCAGCTCTGTTTTTGCCTAGGTCATCTCTGCTGGATGACCCATCCACATAAAGAATCATGTCACTGTTGGGTAGAGCCTCGTCTGTCAAGTCTGGTCTGGGACTACATACCTGTTCCAAGACTGAAACACAACAGTGGGGTTCACCATCCTGCTCCATTGGGAACAGAGTAGCTGGATTCAACACATTACACCGTTTAACTGTAACATTTGACATTTCCAACAGTACAGAGTTATATCTCAGCCACCGTGCTGCAGATAAATGAGAAGTCCTCTGTTCTAATAATATCATTGACACCGCGTGTGGCACAAGCAGTGTCAGGTCACTGTAACCCACAAATTCTCTAGAGGCCACCACAGCTCTTTCAGCTGCTGCCACAGCCCTCAGACAGGCAGGAAGTCCTCTCGCTACTGCGTCTAACTTAGTTGAGAAATATGCCACTGGTCTGAGCAGAGCCGATCCGCCCTATACGCTCACTACGCAAGCTGCGTAGGGCCCCGCAAATTACTCAAGGCCCTGCCTCCCCCTCCTCGTGTCATAGCCTATTTTTTACAGTCTATGGTCATA